ACCAAACCTGCCAATTTCACCCTGAAAATGTGGTCACTGCCATCCGCCCGGCAGGAAACAGATGTGACGGAACCCAAGGCAACATTTTGAACAACCAGACACCCTGAGGGCAGAGCCGGCAGCTGTGTGTGACCACAAGCAGCTTGTCCAGCGAGGGCTGTTCACAGCTGGGCCACCTGTCAAGACCATGTCACCAGGTTGATCCTAGATTCCTACTCAGTGTGGTATTGACATCCCACACGCCCACAGCCTTGGGACCGCATGACCCGCCGCCCCCTTCACTCCTCCAGAGGTACCCCGAGGGCGGCCGGGGCTCCCATGCCCTCCATCACCCACAGGGGGAATTCAAGACGGTTAAGATCAGGCTTAGGTCTGGCGCAGCACTTGTGGATCAACCACTTCCACATTCCTGCTGTCCAGCCCTGCCTGAAAGCCCAGGCCTGCCTTGCCCAGGCCCAGCCTCGGTGGGGGGGCACAGCCAGGGTTGTGCCTTGGCAGATCCTCCAAGGGAGGCCCAAGGAGCCTGTGTGCTGTCTCCCAACCAGCAGACACATTTTTTCACTACGTTGGGCAAGTAACAGAACTTTTAAAACACAAAACAGCAGGAAGCTTCCCAAACGTTTTTGGGGTTGCGGGGGTGGGGGTGGCAACAGGACAGATGCCCCTCTAGGAGCCACCCTCCCCTTGGCCCAGCCAGGAAAGACCCTCAGCTCCAAGTCTGGAAAAGTACCTTTACCCCAGCTCACCCTCCAAAGCCCACATCTTAGACATTTATGTGCATGAAGTCACTTCAGTGGTGTCTGCCTCTGTGACTCTGTGGACCGTTGCCTGCCATGCTCCTCTGTCCATGGGACTGTCCAGACAAGAATACTGGAGTGGGTTGCCATGCCCTCCTCCAGGGGATCTTCCCGACCCAGAGATCGAACTCACGTCTCTTATGTCTTCTGCATTGGCAGGTGGATTCTTTACCACTAGCGCCACCTGGGAAGCCCCTTGGACACTTAATGTTTCCTCTAACAGCTTCTTAGGAACAACTTACAGGTGACCTGACATTATGTCTAAGATTTACTTCCCAACAAGCCAGGAAGGGCTTCCCAGGTAGCACAGTGGTAAAGAATTTGCTGCCAATGCAGAAGATGCAAGAGATACCGGTTCAAACCCTTGGTCAGGAAGATCCCCAGGAGGAGGAAATGGCAACCCACTCCAGTATTCTTGCCTGAAGAATCCCATGGACAGAGAAGCCTGGTGGGTTACAGTTCATGTGGTCCCAAAGAGTCAGACACAACTAAGCATCCAAGCCACACACAAGCCAGGAACAGTGTGTGTGTGACGGGTGTTTATGTGTGGGTGGGGTCGGGCGTGCATGCATGCATATGCATTCATGTGTGTGCATGCTGACACTTGAAGCTGGTGAGGGAACCTTATATTTCTCTCAATTTTGGTATATGTTTTAAATTTTCCATAATCATAACAATTTTTTATTTAAAAATTAACACATGCTTCCTTAAGAAAAGGCTAAGGTGATGGAGGTGGGAGGCTGTACTGATTAAGGGCTTAGGTGCCAAAATCCCTAACCTTGGCCAAGCCATGTGGACGGCGGAAGAACTCACTTGCTACCCTGAGTTCTTAGGAAAAAGACAAGGGTTAATGTGTCAAGGACTCAGATCAGAGCCTAGTAGCAGTGCTATAACATTATTTCTCTTTATTATTCTTATTCTTACCAATCAGCATCAGACAAGATCTCACCCATAAAGCACTTAGCTGCCTGGCACAGTGCCTGGCACCTACTGGAGCAGAATTTTTATTCTTAGATTGGGGTGGGGGGTCTATCAGATAACCGAGATATAGGAGAGCACTCGGCTGAAATAAAGTCCAAAATAAAGGTCCTTTTAAGTCTGAATTTCATCGGTCAGGCCTGTGGAGGAAGAATGAGATTATGCATCCCTAGGTGGACCGAGGCATGCCCTGTGCTGCTGTCCTGATTAAGAAGCTCATTCTCAAACTTTTCAGGAACAAATATAAATCGATCATGAACAGCAGCCAGAACCTAGCTCTTGGGAGGAATTGTTGCAAAATTCCCAGACTAAGCTCATGAGCACAGCTCATGAACTGTATGAATCAGAGGTTTTACTGAATGTGAAAACACAAGGCAGGCAAGTCTCTGCTCACCCGGGAGGAGAGGCAAGGTGGGAGAAGGTACGGCCCTGAGGGAACATGCATCCATCCTTCTCAGCAAAGCAGCAGGCAGTGTGGGCCTCCACCAGCTGGACACCTACCATCCTCCCCTGCTTCAAAGGAAGATGACTCCCCAGGGCATGTCAGAGTTTTACCAGGCAACCCAAGGGAGCCCAATGAAGGGTGGTTTCAGACTTGTTGGAGCAGCCCAATGAAAGAAGTCTCTCCCAGCTCCAAAGTGACATCATCGGGGACCCCGGGCAGAACCACTCCCCCCTAATAAGCCCCAGAACCCACTGATTCTCCCTAAAGCCCTGACCTCTCTGACGCCAGCCCTGCCCTGCTCGTGACTGTCAGAGCCACTGTGGTCAATGTGCCTCTGTTTTTATTCTCTCTGCTTCCCTCGTGGGAGCCAGACTGGGAAAGGAAAGGAAGTTTGTAGAGTTATTATTGCATTAGGCCATGCCACCCCATCTCTCTCTCTCTCTCCATCTACTGGGTAAAGCACACTCTGCAGAAGACAAAGCAGTAAGAGAACAAGAAAACTGAAATGATCCAATCCAGCCCATCACTTGACATCTGGGGAGACACGAAGTGCCTGGCCCATGATCTCAGCACTAGCGACAGTAACCAATGACAGTAACCAACCAGCAACAGTTAGGGCTCCGGAGATTTGGTCCACAAGCTCTGGCTGTGCAGTCTGGGTAAGCCAGCCACCCTCTCTGGGCCTCTGCCAGGAAAGGAAGGGTGGGCCCAGATGGATACCCCATAAGTATTAATAAGACACGGCTTCCCCAGCTCTGTGATTCCTCAGTGGGAGAGCCACTGGGGAGGGGGTGGTGTCAGGAACGGGTTCATCAGAAAAGGGAGGGACAACCCCGCCCCCTCGCTTGCTTTCCGTCCTCACACCCAAACCAGGATTCCAGGTCTGCCCCCCCCTAAATGTTCTACCCAGGAGAGAATTCTTTCAAGGACACCAGGCTTTAGTCACCAGAGATGCTTTTTTACAATCAACACCTGTTAAAACTCAACTCATGACCAGTTTCTGATGCTACTGGCTGGAGCATTTAATTAAATATTACTCACTCAGGAAGCGGCCCCTGCCAACTCACCCCCGAACTGTTCAGTTCATTTTCAGAGAAAAAGAGAGCAGGAGGGAGGAGCCTGCACCCTCCTCAGCTGGTACCAGGCACCCTGCCCTCCTCCCCTGTACCCTGGTTCAGGGCAGCCCTGTTTTGAGAACCAAGCAGGAAAAGGCAAGTTAAGCGGATCCAGGAGCCAGCGATCCCCGCTGCCAGGTTACCATGGATGGCACGCACACACACACACACACACACACACACACACACACACTCATGCCACACGGACACACACGCACTCAGAGATGCAGTCAGACACACAGACACATGCACACACACACATTCACAGAGACACACTCACCACACACACACTCAGAGGTGCACACTAACTTGCACGAAGACACACACACAGGCACACACAAACACATCACACATGCACATTCATACATTTACTCACCCACACACACAGGCTCACAAAGACACACTCTCACACAGACACATACTCAGTACACACCATACTCACACACACAATTCGCCATCCCTCCCCGGCATACCAAGCCATCGCCCCGCGGGGCCGTTAGCATTGCCGGGAGCCTCTGCCTTGAACTTGAACAGGACAGCTACCACCGACTGACCCGGGCTGCTCTGTATTTTCTGTTTTAATCGATTTCCCGACAGAACTCTCGGCTCTCCCCTGGTTGCTCAAGCAGCCGCGGCGGCTCCGGGGCGGCGGGGAGGGCGGCGCCGCCAGGGGTGTCGCCCGGCGGGCTCCCCGGGGGAGGCGCCGCCGGCGGAGCTGGGGACCCCCAAGGGTGCTAGTTGGGCCGCGCTGCGGACCTCGGTCCCCGCCGGCGGGAAAAGCGAAAGTAACTCCGTGGAGCGGGGTCGCGCTACCCCTGAGCGGAAGGGGCAGGTCGGCGCCCCCACCTCCGCCGCAGGGATGGTCCCGAGGCCACCCCCGGCGTCCGGGCACCTAGAAGTCTCCGGGGGCCGCCGCGCGTCCTGGGCTCCTTCTTAGGTCTGCAGCCGCCAAGGCTCAATCCCGGGTCCGACGGTCTCCGGGGCCGCCTGGACTCCCGCCCCGTCTCGTCCCCGCAGGTGGGGCCCGGGGCCGTGCGACCTGCCCGCGCCTGCACGGGCAGCAGCTGCAGCAGCGCTGGGCGGCGCCCCGGGCCCCTCTCCCGGGACCCGCGCCGAGAGAAGGGCTCCCCACGTACCCGTACCGGGTCTCCAAGCGGGACCCCACCCCAGCCCCGCGCCCGGGTCCCCAGGTGCTGCGACCCCAGCGCGCGCCCGACCGGGACCCCCACCCACCCAGTCCCCGCGCCCGGCCCTGCCTACCGCTCCGGGGAGGCTGCCGCCGCCGCCCGCTCTCCTGGGCCGAGGAGGCTTCCCGCCGCAGGGAGCGAAGTCGCCTCCTCCCCGCGGCCCCGGCGCCAGCGCTGGAGCCTGGTGCCTGCTGCGAGCGCGCAGGATGCCCGAGCGCGACTTCTGTGCAAAGAAGAAAATGCAACCGAAGGCTTTAAAGTGAAAAAGGAACGCGCTAGGGGCGGGGCCTCCCCGCCCCGCCCCTCTTCTTCTTGCCTCGCCCCGCCCCCCGGCTGGGGTTCAGGCGGCCGCGCGGGGGGCGCAGTGCGCTGCTGGGCCCGAGGCTGGGGCGCGGGGCGGGTGGTGTGTCACGTGCCCGGCGGTCGTTCCACAGCCTATGCAGCCGCCGCCCCCCTCCTCTGCCTGCGCCATCGCCCCACCCGGAGGCCATCGGGGCGCTCCGGGCGGCGCCGAAGCTGTGGTCCCTCCGGAGGCGTCTTTGGGAAACGCTGGGCAGCCTCCGCTGGGTAAGAGGCCTTGGTTGCAACACCCGGAGGGCTGCAGCGGTGCTGGGCCAGCGTGGGCGCGGGGGGAGAGGAGGCGGGCGGGGGTTTACTAATAATAATTTTTTTGGTCTCTTGGGAGGGTCAGGGTTATTTCAATAACCCTGGCAGCAAGGCTTTGCTTGTTGTTTAGTCGCTCAGTCCTGTCCGGCTCTTTGCAACCCCGTGGGCTGTAACCCACCAGGCTCCTGTGTCCATGGGATTTTCCAGGCAAGAATACTGGAGTGGGTCGTCATTTCCTTCTCCTGGAGATCTTCCCACCCAGGGATCGAACCCATTTCTACTGCACTGCATGTGGATTCTTTTCCGCTGAGCCACCTAGGAAACCCTGGTCTCAAATTACCAGAAACTAAAAATTCTGTAATTCTAGGGCACAGGAGAGCAGTTCATTGGCCAGCAGATAATCCAAGGACTGCTGGTCCTGCTGGAGCCCACCCCCCACTAAGGCATTTTCCCTCTAGGTGGGCCCAGGGAGGGTGTCTTGGGATTCCCAGACCCTGGGGGGCCAGTACCAGGACATCACCAGCTTCCTGATGACCTTGAGCATACAGCTGATGGTTTCCCATGAATGTTTGTTGAGTGAATGAAAGAGTGCTGGGTGGGTACCCACCACCCCCACCCCACCAAGACTTGTCCGTGTAAAAGTGTCAGCTGGCTCCAAGCCACCAAAGGAGTTTTCCTCCACTCCCCTCAACAGAGCAGTCACTTGCACTCTAGAACTGGGAAGATTTTAAAAAAAACTTTTTAAAGACCAAATCTCTTTACATTCCTCCACCCACAATAGTGTGTAGTGTTCACTGAAGGGCACGGAAGATTCACATTGGAGAAGCTGTCAAGAAGAATGTGGTTCCGTAGTAATTTCATCTTTACCGTAACTATAAGGGTGGAACTGTTACATTGACTGTAGAGATCTGGCAGTGAACCCTGTAGGGGTTCCTGGGCACAGGGAGCCTTTCCGTTCAGCCTCCAGCACCTCCCCCTGAGTTCTAAAGGGCTGTTTCAAGCAGTTGCATATCCGGGAAGAGGGGCTATGTAGAGTCAAGGGAGGAACAACCAAGAAACAGCCTTGGGGTAGGGTCCTCATTCTGCCTCAAGGGACACACTTAACAGTATCTTAAAGCCCTTGATGGGGCATGAGTGGTAAAGAATCTGCCTGCCAACGCAGGAGACACAACAGACTCAGGTTCCATCCCTGGGTGGGGAAGATCCTCTGGAGTAGGAAGTGGCAACTTACTCCAGTATTTTGCCTTGAAAATTCCATGGACAGAGGAGCCTGGTGGGCTGCAGTCCATGGGGTCGCAAAGAGTCGGATACGACTGAGTACGTAGAATTGAAACCCAACAAAGGGAAGATGTCAGCATTCTACATGCCTCTGGAGACCTGAGGCCAGACTGAAGAAACCAAAGTTCATCAGAAAGATTACCTGATGGACTTCCCTGGCAGTCCAGTGGTTAAGACTCCTCTGTTTCAAAAAAAAATTTAAAAAAAAAAAAGACTCCTCTGTTTCACTGTAGGGGACTTGGGTTCAGTCCTTGGTCGGGAAACTAAGATTCCACATGCCTGACTGTGTGGCCAAAATATTTAAAAATAAAGATCACCTGAGACCAGATTAAAGGACTGCAGGCCCTGCACACAGCCTAGTCTTACCAGCAACCCCACCCTTGTACTATTGTTATGAAACTCCTCATCAAGTCCTCCAGTGTTGAGACACAGTTTTCAAAGACAGGAGCCCACAGAGGCTTCCTTTGCCTGGCAAAGCAATAAGGGTATTCTTTTCTGTCACCCAAAACTCTGTTTCAGAGATTCAATTTGGCACCACTGCTCAGAGGTCAAGATTCCAGCATCAGCAGGAGTAACTGGTGAAAGGCCTCGAGGTAGCTTGTTGTTGTTCAGTCATTAAGTCGTGTCGGACTCTGTGACCCCATGGACTGCAGCACACCAGGCTTCTCTGTCCTTCACCATCTCCCGGAGTTTGCTCAAACTCATGTCCATTGAGTCAGTGATGCCATCCAACCATCTCATCCTCTGTCTCTCCCCCTCCCCCCGCTCCCTGCCTTCAATCTTTCCCAGCATCAGAGTCTTTTCCAATGAGTGGGCTTTTTGCATCAGGTGGGCAAAGTATTGGAGCTTCAGCTTCAGCATCAGCCCTTCCGATGAATATCCAGGATTGATTTCCTGTAGGAAATTTAGACTGAGGCAGACCAAGGTATAATTCAAGTGGCAGTCCATCCATCTGGGACCTGAGACCCCACCTTTGATGTGAGGACCCTGAAATAGACTGTTTCAGGTAAGACAACCTCAGCACTCCCACCCCCCTTCCTTCAGTGTGAATCTTCATGTATCAGCTCTGATCCAGTAGGGTAATGAGATCGCGCTGACCTAAATTTCCTAGAGGGATCCCTGGGGAGTGAGCCTTCCTCTCCTCCAGGACGTGGGCAGGTAGGCCGACCAATGCTGGGAAGCTGGGCATCCCGCAGTGACCCGGAACAGTGTTGAGCAATAGTGGAGTCCAATTGTATGAAAGGGGTGTATACTCATCCTATCAGCACGAACAGTATTGTTTTGTTAAAAAGATACATGTTGTTCAGTCCCTAAGTCGTGTCCAGCTCTTTGTGAGCCCCCTGGACTGCAGCATGCCAGGTTCCCTGTCCTCCACTATCTCCCAGAACCTGCTCAAATTCATGTCCATTGAGTCGGTGATGCCATCTAACCATCTCATCTTCTCCCGCCCCCTTCTCTCTTGGCCTTCAGTCTTTCCTAGTATCAGGGTTGTTACATATTGTGACATCAGCAGATAAATACCATCCAGGAATTTGAAGACTGACTCAAGTCTTAAACCCACTTATCTGTCATTCCATGGGGGTGAATAGGGAGGGGGCATGGTTCTGGGCTTCTGGTGGTGTCATCTGCCCCCACAACGGCACCTCCACCTCCACTTAGATTTTATCACTTGCAAGAAGCACAGTTTGCTCCCTTCTCTAATCTGTTTCAGGAAAATTATGGGGAGAAATTGTTAGATAACAAATTGGCTGTCAGCTGCTTTTTTTCTTTTTCTTTTGTGGCCACACCACACAGCATGCTGGATCAGGGATCGAACCCATGCCCCTTGCAGGGGAAGCTTGGGGTCTTAACCACTGGACCACCAAAGAAGTCCCTCAGCTGCTGTCTGTGATGATAAGGGGTCTGTCCAGAGCTGTCTCAGACACACTGCAAGCCTTTAGAGCAGACTTCTGCTGCCTGCACATGCTCCCACCTCCTCAGGGCTCCCATTGTCTCTGAGTCCCTTTTGCTGGTTGAAGAAAATGGACAAGAGATTGGTATTAGACAAGTAATGCAAACCCCAGCTGCCACTCACCAGCTGTGTAATCTTGGTTGTTGTTGTTCAGTAGCTAAGTCATGTCTGACCCTTTGCAACCCCGTGGATTGCAACTCACCAGGCTTCTGTGTCCTTCACTATATCCTGGAGTTTGCTCAAACTCTTGTCCATTGAGTTGGTGATGCTATCTAACCACCTCATCCTCTGATACCCCTTCCTCCTCCTGCCCTTAATCTTTCCCAGCCAGGGTCTTTTCCAGAGAGTCGACTCTTCCCATCAGGTGACCAAAGTATTGGAGCTTCAACTTCAGCATCAGTCCTTCCAATGAATACTCAGGGTTGATTTCCTTTAGGACTGACTGGTTTGATCTCCTTGTAGTCTCAAGAATCTTCTAGCACGGCACCGTCATTCCCCAGCTGTGTAACCTTGGGCAAGTTATCTAATCTTTCTAGGACCCAGTTTCCTCATCTATTGAATCGCTCTGCATGTTTCCCAGAATTTGGTGGTGGGGAAAGGGTAGCAGTCATGCCACAAATATTAATTGAGCACAATATGTGCAAGGTATTGTGTTAAACTGAAATGCAGAAAGTTTTGAGGAATGTCAAGATAATAGGCCCATTTTAGATATTATTACTTTATTTTATTATGGAGTATAATTGTTTTTCAGTGTTGTGTTATTTGATGCTGTACAACAAAGTGAGTCAGAGATACTATTATTGACAATAAGAAAAATAAGTTTTCTAGAAAAGCTTGAAATCAACAACACAAAAGTGTGACAAGATCCACCAGAACAAAAAGAACTGAAACATATTTTTCAAATTTATACCCATTCTGCATTCTTAATACAAGATATACTTATGTCATGAAGTGAAACTGGAGTAGACCTTACCTTTCAGAACTTTGATCTTAGAGCTTTCATGAGTTAGTGCGTGCGTGCTCAGTCAGTCGTGTCCAACTCTCTGACCCCATGAAATGTAGCCTGCCCTGCTCTGCTCATAGGATTTCTGGGTAAGAATACAGGAGTGGGTTGCCATTTCCTACTCTAGGGGATCTTCCTGATCAGAAATCAAAGCCAAGTCTCCCGTGTCTCCTGAATTGGCAAGTGGATTCTTTACCTCTGTGCCACCTGGGACTTGGTAGACATATTCTCTTAACCCTTTTGTCGGGGGTGGGGTGTGCGATTCACTCCGGATCACATAATTAGCAGACAGTGACACCTGCTGGCAGAGTATGATATTGCAGTGTAGCTCTATCAGACACTGCTGGTCATCAGAACAAGGGGGTGATGTTGAGCAAAGTTTCGGCAGATTCGTTTGGTTTTGTTTGTTTGTTTTTTTAATTTTTTAGCTGCATCATGTGGCTTGTGGGATACTAGTTCTCTGACCAGAAATTGAACCTGTGCCCCCTGCATCGGAAGCATGGAGTCTTAACCACTGGACCACCAGGGAAGTCCTCAGCTACTTTCAATCAGATATTGGGTAGCAACCAGGCTTGAGGAGAGTTCCTATGACCTTGAGAAGAATGAATAGATGACCTTGGATTTGTCACAATAGTTATTGTAAAGTTCTTTGAAAACACTTTTAGTGCCTAGGAGTGAGCTGGCTGAGACCTTGATACCTATCTTGACTGTCCACTGGACATTTTCAAT